GGTTCATTGGGGATTCCAGGGCCTAATCGCCCCATCCTGGTGGATCCGTTATTTATTTGTTCATCATTTTTCGGCAAGTGAACCAGAGTCCCGGGGGTCCCCGTGGCTAACTCTGGCATCCCACATCACTGGTAGCTTCGTCGGACGCAGTCCCAGTGATGTGCTGCGTTTTCTGATTGTTGATTGTTACATCCCGAGTGTTCCGAGTTCCAGGGTTGCTTCCACACACACACACACACACACACACACACGGGCGGACATCAGCGGCATCGTCGGTCCTCCGTTTCGTCGCGATCTTGCTCAGCTTTTCCGGGCGGGGAAAGTGAATGTGATGAGCACCTCTAGACAAAGCAAAGCATCTTACTCAGAAGGCGCGTGAGCACTTCCGGCGAGTTGGATAGCCAGGAAACATGGATTCTGCACCTAGACCGTCCACACACAGAGAACTTCTGAAAACAAGCACCCTGGTGGCTGGCAGGGGCCCTTACAGGCCTTTGGCAGCCACAAGGTGCGCGAGAAATCGTGCCGAAGCAAACTCTGAAGCATCGGCATGGGTCACAAAAAGAAGCATGGTCAATGGTTTAGGGGTGTAGGGTTAGGCTTTAAGTACCCACAGAGTCTCAATGCTTCACATTCACTCCACCAAGAATTCCTGTGCGACAGGCTTTGCAGTCGCTAATACTAGCACGGGGTTCATCACTCACACCGGCTGCAAGCGCCACGACTGCAGCTTGCTGCAGCATTGCCCTTCGCATCTTTCTCATGCCGGGCTCGTGATGCTATCTATACTGTACACTCCGTCAGCCGGCCGTGCCATAGCAGCACCTCCCAGGCGTCAGGCAAAGTAGCGTGACTTGTGAACCGCAAGCCCTAAACCCTAAACCCTAAACCCTAAACTCAGCTAAACCAGGCATGCTTGGTGACACAGATACGAAACTTCTCACGATCTTCTCTTTACCTAGCACTTGCGTGTTTCTTAGGATAGTTCCACATGGGGCCCCTTTTTGGGGAAACCCTTTCGTATACCCTCAAAAGCAAGCAAGGGCCCATATGCAGTAGGGGACCATATTGCTACCCTTCGATCCTTGCGGTGCTTTGTGCCCCGAAACCCTAAACCCTAAACCCTAAACCCTAAACCCTAAACCCTAAACCCTAAACCCTAAACCCTAAACCTTAACCCTAAACCCTAAACCCCGAGATATAAATATTTAAAATAGGGGCAGCCCTTTTTTGCTCCAAATGGAATAGAACCCCTTAAAGGGAGCAGCTGAGGTTGTCAACTCGGTGGCATGTATCGTCGTGCAGGGTTTAGGGTTTAGGGTTTAGGGTTTAGGGTTTAGGGTCTAGGGTCTAGGGCTTAGGGCTTAGGGCTTCGGGCTAGGGTTTAGGGTTTAGGGTTTACCGTTTAGGGTTCAAGGTTTAGGGTTTAGAGTTTAGGGTCGAAGGTTTCGGGTTTAGCGTTTGTAGGGCCCTTGTCGAGCAATCAGGCTGTGCCCGTGGACGAAATTCTATATGCCACACATCTCCACGGCAGATCGCTTTTCAATCCTTTCATGACGGAAACTCGTTTCAGGCTGGATCCTCTCCCAATGGGGGTTTAAGTCTAGGGCGGACTTTCTGGCTCCTATGCCTCTGACTACAAGAGAAATAGGGTTTAGGGTTTAGGGTTTAGGGTTTAGGGTTTAGGGTTTAGGGAGAAAGGGCCGGAAAAGATGCTGCAACGTGGCACACGTCAGCCATGGAGTCGTACATAGTCTCATCGTACATGGGGTTGAGGTTGTGGTTGTTGTCCCTTCTGGCCTAAACCCCCCCCCCCCCACATCATACAGGGCCCTCAATAATTAGAATGGGTTTCGGGGGGTGATTATAGCGTAAGTATGTAGGGACGATAAGGGAACAATAGTCGCAATTCTTCCGACCCCCGCAGCAGCGCCTTGTCACTTTACATTGCATCAGAAGCCCCTTAGGGTTCAGGGTTCAGGGTTTAGGGTTTAGGGTTTAGGGTTTAGGGTTTAGGGTTTAGGGTTTAGGGTTCAGGGAGTCCCCCGATTTGAAGCCCCAGAACCTTGACAAACACACCCAATAAGGCGATTTCCTGCTACGAAGCATATACAGGTTCGACAGAAAATAGCTAAGGCCATTTTCCACTTGTTTAAAGGGTTTGCAAACAGCTACTCTAGGTAAACCCTGCAACGCCTGGCCCAACGGACGACGGGCCATACAAACTAGAATAGGGTTTGGGGGATGTTGTTGTACAAATACGTGGGCGCTATGAGCGGATACTGTTGGCACTTCTTCCTACCCAAAAGCCTAAACCAAGAACCCCAAACCCCAAACCCCAAACCCTAAACCCTAAACCCTAAACCCTAAACCCTAAACCCTCAGCCTACTGGCCGAGCAGGGCATCGGCGCGGAACTCTAAGATGGCGTTCTCGTCTTCTGCAAGGCGGGGCCTCAGACTTCTGGCCCTAAACCCTAAACCCTAAACCCTAAACCCTAAACCCTAAACCCTAAACCCCTAAACCCTAAACCCCAAACCCTAAAACAAGTGTCAACTGGCGGTTGAGTGGGTTCAGGGCAAGGACAAAGGCTCGGGACACGTGAAACCTCTGCAAAACCCTAAACCCCAAACCCTAAACCGCCAAGCGACCCTTGAGTAAGTCTGGTCTGGGCCTAGTTTTGGTCTCATCGTAGTTTCATGGTCCCTTAGTATGGGCCCTTGAAACGGGACCCCTTATATACCCCTTAGATATTGGGATGTTACCCCCTAAGCGAAAAAAGGGCACCCATTTGTTTAAATACTAGGTCGTTGTGAGCAACCTAAGGAGTGTAGGATGACGGTTTTAGGGCTTAGGCTTTTAGTGTTTCGGGTTGGGATGTTCCCCCTTATACTAACAGTCCGTAATAGGGGGTACTATCATCCCTATTAAGGACTGTTAGTATAAGGGGGAAAACCCTAAACCCTAAACCCTAAACCCTAAACCCTAAACCCTAAACCCTAAACCCTAAACCTATATACCCTATAAAGCCCCAAGGGCCCCTACCTCAGAGCCCTTTGAAGAGGGCAAGGGACCCTGTTAAGGGACCACGGAACTCCCCTTTGTTTAGTGGGCCAACCCACCTCTTCGTACCCAGCCCCGGGTCTGGGAGGATCCAAAAAGTATATCCCTTAAAGGGTACTAACGAGTTACTAATTAAGAATGACCCAAACGTAGTGTAGGGCACTATTTTGTGGGGGCTCCACTTTTTGGATCCTCCCAGGGGTCTGGAAAGTTGGCGAGAGCATACAGTAGGGTCGCGCAATCAAAACGGAAGTGGGCCCGTGGCTCTGTCTCCGTTGGAGGAGGGCTGGGCGCTGTCACCTCCTGCAGTTTAAGGTGTAGGGTTTAAGTACGTAAAAGCCTCGAAATCAGCAGGTCGGTATAACACCTTCACTGAAGGGCATAAACACCAAAAGAACAGATAGTTGCGGACCCCAGGTCAAATTTAGGGCTGAGACAGGGTTTAGGGTTTGTAGGGTTTCGCCAGCGAAACCTGTAAGAGAAACCCAGCGGAGGACACACTTCAGGGTTGGGGGGTGTCAAGGATTCACAGGTCTTCACAGGTCTTCACAGGTTTTCACAGGTTTTCACAGAACTTCACAGGACATTCGAAACTATTGAAAACCCAGCGACAGCCATTCAAAACCCAGCGAGAGCATAATCAAAACCCAGCGAAGAGGACATTGAAAACCCAGCGAAAAGGACATTGAAAACCCAGCGAGGAACCCATAGGACTCCATGGCATGAAGTTGCGGAATCGATGGAAACTTTCCAGCGCACAGGAAACTTTCCAGCGGAGCAGGTTCACATGGTAGTTTCCAGCGAAAGTGCTAGGTTTTTCCAGCGGACGATGGTGAGGGTATATATATAGACAAACAGAATCGGGCTGTTTGTGCCTCGCGTGCTGCCGCCGGACTGCTCGGGGCCTGTTTGCTGAGAACTGGCAAGGGTGTAGAGTTGAGGGTTTGGGGATACACAATCGTGCTTCCGAATAAGGATACTTGTTTTTTTCTGGCTTGTTGCGGACGTTCAGGCTTTGTGGCTTTGCTTGTTGAGGAGGTTTTTGGGGGTCCTTGCAAGGCTTTTGTCGCAAACGCGTCGTTCGACGAAGCCCATTCTAGACCAAATCCAACTCCATACGCCAAACTCTAACCGATGGAGTGAGGATGCGACAGTCGGTTGCTTCTGCAGCTCTGTCATCTCGGACCTCATCGACGCGAAGGACGCAAAAACATCATCACATATTGAGTCCAGAATAACCCGAAACCCTAAGCTCGAAATCCGAAATCCGAAACCCTAAACCCTAAACCCTAAACCCTAAACCCTGAACCCTAAACCCTGAACCCTAAACCCTGAAGCAGAACCCAAAGCCACCGCTCCATGGGGCCTTCTTTGGAAGGGCTCTAGGTTCAGAGGTTCCGACCCAGAGGTTCGCGGAATTAGGGTTTAGGGTGTTAGGGTGTTAGGGTGTTAGGGTGTTAGGGTGTTAGGGTGTTAGGGTGTTAGGGTGTTAGGGTTTAGGGGTTGGGGTTTAGGGTTTAGGGTTTAGGGTTTAGGGTTTAGGGTTTAGGGTTTAGGGTTTAAGGTTTCCAGAATCGTAGCTAAAGTGTCAGCCAGCGGAGCCCCCACCTTTTTACAGGCGCACGCGAAGGACCGTGGGAGGATCACGTGGGTCTCCCAAAGACTCAATAGGCTTCAACTCTCTCCCCCCCACTCCCGCGCCACACAAGAATGGCAGAATGTCTTGCAGCCCGGGAATTGCACATGTTTCAACGGAGTTCCCAAGCACCGGCTGCACGTAGAAAGTCCTCCGCAAGCTCCCTCTGACCGCCGGAAGAAGGGCTCAGATCTCCCTCGAGTTGCTTTCATCCTTCGACCATCGCGTCGGTGATCCCATCCTGCCCCACATGCCCTCGGCGCAGCGGGGCGCCCCTGCGAATCGGCACCCTCGGCCTCGCCCTAAAGAAATGCCAGCCGCGGGAGTCGGGAAACAGTCACCCCTCCAAGTGTCTTCGAACCCCAGAAGTCGGGCTCGCTCCGGATCAAGGGGTCTGCCGTGCCGGTCCTGCGTCCCTGATCGGCGGCCAAGGGCGAATACCTTGGGACCAAAGGCGAACCCTAGGACTGGGGTCATTGACACCCTATGCTCCTGTATCCCCATGAAGGTATATAAGGACCCTAAAGCCCTTGTTAAAGGGCACTAGAATCCCCATGAGTGTATAATATGGACCCTAAACCCTACCCTAAACCCTAAACCCTAAACCCTAAACCCTAAACCCTAAACCCTGAACCCTAAACCCTAAACCCTAAACCCTAAACCCTAAACCCTAAACCCTAAACCCTAAACCCTAAACCCTAAACCCTAAACCCTAAACCCTAAAAAGCCCGTTTTAAAAGGGTTCATCTCCTCCCCCAAGGAACAGGTCGGTATCGAAGTTGAGGAAGCGCTCGCTGTGCTGCTGCGCCTCACCGGTCACTTCCCCCAAGGCCTCATGGAGCTGCTCCATGAACTGGCAGGCTGCCTTTAGGGTTTAGGGTTTAGGGTTTAGGGTTTAGGGTTTAGGGTTTAGGGTTTAGGGTCTAGGGTCTAGGGACTGGGGTTTAGGGTTCTGAACTTCGAGACCTAGCAAGAATCACACTTTTTGCTGTTTCTTAGGAACTAAAAGTGCCCCAAAATTAAACCTTGTTTCCCAGTATCCCTAAACCCTAAACCCTAAACCCTAAACTCTAAACCCTACACCCTAAACCCTAAACCCTAAACTATCCCTAAGGCCTTGAGGTCCTCGCCCGTCTCGTCGTCCTTGTCCAAGGTTCCCATACTGCCCTCGCAGCCACCATCCTTGGGCCCCAATATGTACCCTAATAACCGTAATAATTAACCCTAATAACCCTAATAACCCTAATAACCCTAATAACCCTAATGACCCTAATGACCCTAATGACCCTAATGACCCTAGTAACCCTAATAACCCTAATAACCCTAATAACCCTAATAACCCTAATAACCCTAATGACCCTAATAACCCTAATAACCCTAAACCCTAAACCCTAGACCCTGAACCCTTTGGGGCCGCATTGAGCCCCCAAGGATCCAGCAACACGAAGAAGGCGTCCTTCAGAGCCTTGGTAGCCCGGTAACCATCTGATAAATAAGGGGTGCCCCTTTTTGGGCTGGCTACTGTTTAAGGGTTTAGGGTTTAGGGTTTAGGGTTTAGGGTGTAGCATTGGTCAGCTGAACGCAAAAGTGTGAAGACATGCCCACCCCGAGGCCACCCAAACAATACTCATCACGAAACCAAACCGGAGCCAGCCAAAGCCAAGCCAGCCATTCAAATTTCACATATCGAACATGTTCAGAGCACACTAAGATAAAACACTGCGAATGCTTGGGATATTTGCGAGTCGTGAACTCTTGCCGAACTTGAGGCGAGCTGTTGGCGATTTCTTGGGGGGGTCACTTGGGAACAGTGGCTGATTGGGACACTAGGAAGTCGGAGATCATCTGGGGCCAGAAGGCAGCGGAGGTCACTTGGGGGCAGAAGGCAAAGGACCCCCCCCTCAGGTTTTGCGCAGGGGACGGTCTGGGCCGAAGGGCCCTCTCACAGAAAATTTCAGGGCGTGAAGAGTCTCCGCAATTGCAAAAATCAGCTCCAGGGCCTGCTTTGGCAGCTTTCTGCCAGTGGAAGTGTTTGAGGCCACCTGCTTAAGGTCCCCTACTCGCTGGAAGAGTTTAAGGCCCCAGAAGGGTTTAAGGCCGCCAGGCCAGATCCAGGGCCAGGAGCAGCACAGGGCCAGGCCAGGGCCAGGGAAAGGGTCAGGGCTAGGGCCAGGGCCAGGGCCAGGAGGGCCACAGGGCAGGGCCAGGGCCAGGGCCAGGGTCAGGGCCAGGGCCAGGGCCAGGGCCAGGGCCAGAGCCAGGGCCAGGGCCAGGGGGAGGGGTCAGGGTCAGGGCCAGGGCCAGGGCCAGGGCCGGGTGAGGGCCAGGGCCGGCCAGCCAGGAATTGAAAAAGGACCCCTTCCTGGGGTTTAGGGTACTTTTTTCTATCTGAGACAAGCTAGACGACTCGAGCTAGGCGACCCTCTCAGGAGTGTGCCTGGCAGGCTCTGCAGCCTAGCAGAGCCTGCCGTGGTCTCGCTGAGCGCTCGACTGCGCCCGCCTACCCCAACAGAGGTGAGAGGGGTGGCGGGCGGGTTTAGGGTCCCAAGAACCAAAAAAAAAGGGTAAGGGGGGTAGCCACTGGCCTGCCAAGGAGCCGCATACCCAAAGCCGGCCCCCTTTTCTCCTTGGTAGGGCGTCAGACCTTCCTTAGCTTTGGAGTAGACCCTGGAAAAAATATACTTTTTGGTAATAAGTAGCAATAATAGGAACCCAGAGCCAAAAAAATATTAAAGTATACAGTAGGACAACAAAACCCAGCTTCTGTGACGAAGGGGATCAAGGCAGGAGGCCCCTGGGGCAGATGCCGCCAGCTCTCCACGCCCACGACCTGAAGGGACCCTAAACCCTAAACCCTAAACTCTAAACCCTAAACCCTAAACCCTAAACCCTCAACCCTAAACCCTAAACCCTAACCCTGAAAAATTGGGCAGGTCACATCCCCTTTCCTACTGCAGTTTTCCATACAGGTATGTCAGCCATAAACTTCCCCCTTTTCGGGTTCTTTTGGGTCCTCCCCAACGTACCAGAGGTCACAGGGTCCACTACGGTACCCCCCCAAGGTACCAGGAGGTCACAAAAGAAGCTCTTCACAAACTCCTCCCCGTCCCGCGTCCGCCCCATCTGATACTCGACGATGTCCATGGCGGCCATGCGCGTGCCAAACTTCTCGCCAATCACCTCCGACTGCAGCATCCTTGCAACGCAAGGAAAGTTAGGGAAGCGACTTGGTCGCCCCCAACATTTGAGGGGGGGGTGGGGGGCAAATGCGATAAAAGAAATTCTTGACATTGGAAACCCCCTAAAAGAAGGGTACCAGTATTTTCGAGGGTTTTCCATTCTTGTCGGGTCTGCGCCGGGTATCTGAGTATATAGGCCCGGTGCTCCTTGCCGATTCACCAGAAAGCCCGTGAGGTATGGGAAATGGAACAGAAGCCCTTCCAAGAAGGCATGGTGACGTTCACCAAGTCCGAAGACACACAACCTTGCGGTTTAGGGTTTAGGGTTTAGGGTTTAGGGTTTAGGGTTTAGGGTTTAGGGTTTAACCAATATGTACGCTATATTTCGGATCATCTACCCTGTGCTGCGACAGCTCCCATTAAGGTCATATTAGTGGCTGTCCCAATTATGGTCCCTTTTTGGATCCCTATTGTAATACGGCACCTAATATTTTAGGGTACCCCAAGAGGGATCATAATTTTGACAACCACCCTAAACCCCAAGACTAAACCCTGAACCCTTTGAGGCTTCATCTCGTCCCCAAGGAACTGGAGGGAAGCTAAACCACCGAAGCGGTGTCTCCGAAAGAGCTCGTGGAAGCTCCAGAAATCCTCGGTTGCCCAGTACCCTAGGATTAAAAAGGGGTGCCCTTTTTTGCTTAGGGTGTAGGGTCTAGGGTCTAGGGTCTAGGGTCTAGGGTTTAGGGTTTAGGGTTTAGGGTTTAGGGCTTGTTGCTCTGGCTTTCTCTAATTTGTTCTTTCGCTTGATCCCACTACAGAGCGCAAGCTTCAGCAATGCATAGTCTTGGAGACGCTCTAGTCAGTGAGCCTTGTCGCCTGCGCGTGCGACATTAAGCATAGCCGCAGCCAAACACGTGAATGCGAAAGGCGTATGTGCCAGGACACTAAGCACAGACACCCTCAAACATGCCTGGTGCATTGTTTGAATTCTTAGGGTAGCCTGGATTATTTGGATTGAGATTTTGTTGGGGTGTTTTAAAGTAACCTGGATTGTTAGAAAGGTTCGTAAATTTGGGCTAGGAATCCTAATCGTGGTAGAACTGGGGATAGGGCTTGGAACCTTCATGTAAGTGGAACCAGGAATTGGGCTTGGAACCATCAAAAAAGTAGAACCGCGAAGAACCGCGAGCTAGGTTTGAAATACTCATACAAGTCGAACTGGTAATTAGCCTGGAACTTTCATATAAGTAGAATCGGGATTGGGTTTGTAAACTTCATATAAGTAGCACTGGGAATCGGGCTTGGAATTCTCACATAAGTAGAGGTGTGGATTGGGCTCGGAACCTTTAATAAGTAGAACTGGGGACTGGGCTTGGAAGCTTCACATAAATAGAATTTAGAGCAGGGTGCATGTGTGTATGTGAACTCTTTTCTTTTCGCGCACACACTGCTGCGATGTTATTTGAAGCACTAAGTGCACTCAGCCAAGTCGTTCCAGGTGATGGCCGACCTGAGAGAATTGACAGTGGTGGAAATGTTCGCGGAAGCCCCGATATTTTGTTGAGTAGCGCACGGCGTCTTCTTCATGATTTTGGCTGCATGCCGTATCTCCCTCAGTTTTGCCAAAATGATCACTTGATAAAGGAATGCTTGATGATACTGGTTTGAGTGCTGGACTCCAAGCATTGGCGAAGGTGATCTCGATAACACGCTTCGTGGATTGGTGTCCGGTTGTAAACCTGGTAGCAAGGGCTGCTGTGTGAAAATGACAGGATCTGCTTCATGTCCTTTTCTGAGGATTTGGCGCTGTTAAGATGGTGCCACGGCTTGAGGGTCGATTTGTGCAATTCCACGTGGAGCAAGTGGATGTTCTTTCTGACCTGAGCTTTGAAGTGATGTATCTGAACTGAAATGCTTGGGTGTCTCAACTTGCCTTCGCCTTGACTGATTGGTCCTTGACGATGCCTTGCCTGCTGCAGGAATAAAGTTGTTCTGCTTTGTACACTGATTACGTTATATGTGTGCGCCTTGACAGGATTTAGGGTTTAGGGTTTAGGGTTTAGGGTTGAGGGCTTCGGCTTCGGGCTTCGGGCTTCGGGCTTCGGGTTTCGGGTTTAGGGCTTCGGGTTTCGGGTTTAGGGGTTAGGGGTTACGGGTTAGGGTTTAGGGGTTCATAAGGCAAACTAAACCCCCCAAAACAAGGGAACAAGCTACTACTGGGCATCCTAGAATCTCGGTGGCGAGCTCCCCGAAACGTCTCCTGGAACCTCTCGCGCAGAAGCCGAAAGTGTCGGGCCCTCGCAGTCGTGGATCTTCCGGCGTAGTGGAACACGAACCTTGGTACCCCAGTAACCATACTATAGTAAGGGCACCCTTTTTTGGTTGGCTACTTTCTAAGGGAGCCTTAAACTATTACAATATAGGGCAACCTTTTTTTGGTTGGTCAATATCTCAGGGAGCCTTAAACCCCCCCCCAAAAAAAAAAGGAGAGGGGTACCACCGGGCTACCAAGGAACAGGTTCCGGCCTTCCCTCACAGAAGGGATCCTGTGGTGATTGACGCGAGGGGTTTGCAGGATCACGGTCCTTGACTTCATGCCCAATAAGTCATGCTTGAAGGCCTTAGTTGCTGAGTTCATAAGCCCCCCAAAAGGCGTACACCTTTCAGTTCTTTTGGGGATTGGAGTATGCCAAAAAGTGTAGAGTGTACTCATTCAGCTACTAAGAGGCCACTGTCAGACAGTATTGCTCCGTCCAGTTCAAGTAGTCCTGACACGGTGGGAAGTGGTACATCTCGATGAGAAACTGCCGCGTCCACAGGCTGTTGCGGAACAAGATCGTGGCTCCATCCATCAGCTCCTCCCCTTAATCGCTCTTCATTGGGAACTACCCAAAGGCTCCAATGTAGTTCCCCTTTGGGTTAGTTATAGGGGATTTTACATAGGAGCCTTTGGGTAAGTTTAGGTTTTAGGTTTAGGTTTTGGCGGAACTAAGGAAGTCGTGACCTGACATCCCAGTGTCAAGATCTCAGCGTAAACTAGGAATGAGAAGGGCCTTCGTTTGCTGAAAGGGGCTTACAAGGAAAAAACCCAAGCCCTAAACCCCAGGCCCTCACTGGGTCCTAGGTACGTACGCCTGTAAGGGGCAATCTCTGATTCCCGACCCTAAAGCCAGAAACCTAACACCCTAAACCCTAAACCCTAAACCCCTAAACCCTAAACTATCCCAAATCTTCATCAGCAAGTCACGTTGAAGCGCAGGGAAGTCAGGCCAGATATCCTGTGCCCAGATGTGTGCGTCGGGGTAGGAGTCAATGTCAAAAACGTCCTCCAGCTTCCTAGGAGTAACCCAGGAAGAAACAGGTACCCTTAAACCCTAAACCCTAAACCCTAAACCCTAAACCCTAAACCCTAAACCCTAAACCCTAAACCCTAAACCCTAAACCCTAAACCCTAAACCCCTGGTTTGAAGGGGGTCTTGGCGCGGAAACGAAACCTTGACAAAATAGAAGAACAATAGCCTAGTGTGGGTCCTAGCATCTGGGTCTGGTCGTACACCATGGCATCTGCATCGATCCAGAACAGGAAATCGTAGTCAGCCAGGTGAATCCTGAAACCCTATCCCTAGACCCGAAACCCCAAAGCTCAAAGTCCAAAACCCTAAGCCCTAAACCCTAAACGCTAAACCCTGAACCCTAAAATCGAAACCCCAAGCATGCTAGAACCCTGGCTAGGACTCTATGGGGATTCTAGGACACTGAACCTATCCCACAAGGCCCACACGGCCTGGGTTTCCAAGCTTAGAGAACGCAGGGCTTTGGGCTTAGGAATTGGAGTTTAGGGTTTCGGGTTTCAGGTTTGGGGTTTAAGGGCCCTAAACCCTAAACCCTAAGCCCTATAAACCCTAGACCCTAAACCCTAGTTCCTAAACCCTAAACCCATTCCCAGGATCTGGATGGCATGGATTTTTGTCCAGTGAGGTACTCGCGCGCGGTCGATCACGTGGTCAAGGATGTGGAAGCCATAACCATGCCGCTCCGCATACTCAAGGTTCCCGGCTGCTGTCCTTGCCAGGATGGAGGATGGGCCCTTATACCCTTTAATAACCCTTGACCCCTTAAAAAGGGCACTTTTGTGAGGTTTAGGGCGATTATACCCTATAAAACCCCCTTAACAAGGCCCTTGATGGGGTTGATTAAGGGGATTCTATGGCCCAATAGCCATCCTGGTAGTTGCTGTCCTTAGTTCCCAGAGGCTCCAGTATACCCTTAACTAGGGCATATTTCCCTTCAATGAGAATAGGGTCCCTTGTATGCTTTAGGCAACGTCCCTTAAGGGGTATTGGAGTCTCTTGGTTCTGAGTTCATGAGCCCCTCCAAAAGTATACACTTTCAGTTCTATAGCTAAACCCTAAACCCTAAACCCTAAACCCTAGACCCCAAACCCCAAACCCCTAAACCTTAAACCCTAAACCCCAAACCCCTAAACCCTAAATCTTAACTCCCCAAAAGGCTGTAAAGGGCACTCGTTCAGCTGCTCAGTGTCATGTTCGCATAGGACATGATTTCCTGGGAGTGCATGGTGACCTGGGCATTCAGAATCTCTGAGGTCAGCGCTCTTGGGTTTAGGGTTTAGGGTTTAGGGTTTAGGGTTTAGGGTTTAGGGTTTAGGGTTTAGGGTTTAGGGTTTAGGGTTTAGGGTTTAGGGTTCGCCTGCGCTGCTGCAAGGAAGACTGGTTCTCAACACTAGCAATCGTAGCCGCTGTATAGCCATGTAGTAGCAACAAGAATGCCAAATACATAACAATAGCGGTACTAGTAATAACAACAGAGAACAGAAAGAAGCATCAAGATGATGATAAGACCAGGAACAACTGTCATAATAACAACAGTAAACGCAAAAACAAACGCAGTACTAACGAAGTCGCAATCACAGCAACAAAAAGAGTAGAATAACAGAAAGAAACGCAAGAGTAGCAACAATGGGAACAGTCGCAATGGTAGTAACAAACGAAACAACGGATGAAAGTAACAATTGTGATAATAGCAGCACAAGCAACGACATGAATAGTACATAGCCATAACAACGCGATAGTAGGAACAGGAATAGAAGAAGTACCAATGTTCGTAAGACTTGTAATGGCAGTAGTAGGGCCCTAAACCCTAAACCCTCAACCCTAAATCCTAGACCCTGGACGCTGAACCCTAAACCCCTATATAAAGCCTGGACCCTAAACCCTAATTAAGCCCTAAACTCGAAACCCTAAACCCTAAACCCGTAAACCCTAAACCCAGACAATAAGGTGGCGGCAATTCCAATCCGAGGCTTGGAGCTCCCGAGCGCGTGCAGCACGCACGCGATCGCCAGAAGCAGCCGCATGGCTGGTGGTAGTGAAGGAACGGAAAGTAGGAAAGTACAAGAATGGCAGGGTGTAGGGTTTAGGGATGAGGGATTGGGGTTTAGGGTTTAGGGTTTAGGGATTAGGGATTGGGGATTGGGGATTGGGGTTTAGGGATTAGGGATTGAGGATTGGGGTTTAGGGTTTAGGGATTAGGGATTGAGGTTTAGGGCTTAGGGGTTTAGGGCAGCAGTAAAGAATAGAGTGTTGCGGGGCGGGGGGGGGTTGGTGGGTGGGGGGGGGGGGGGGTGAACGCTGATGTTGACTACAGCTTCGGAAGCGCATGCATTAAGCACCAGTGACTGCACAAGCATGGTTGGTACAAGACTAGCAGTAATCGTGAAAGTATCGAAAGCATCACCATAGCAATTGGGAAAACAAAAGACTAAAATGAGGCAATAACCGTACCCCAAAAGGAACAACACAAACATACACAGAGTAATAGTCGTAATGACCGAGATATCGGCAAAGAGATTGCTTTGAACAAACTGCACTGATCGCAATGATAGTAGTACTAGAGGCAGAAAGCGCAAAGTGCTCGAAGATGAGATATTGTCGAGGTAGCTTCGAGGGAAGATTGGGCAAATACTCGCCATGACTTGGATGGCTTGATGGGTTTTCTCGAGATAGGGTTTAGGGTTTAGGGTTTAGGGTTTAGGGTTTAGGGTTTAGGGTTTAGGGTTTAGGGTTTAGGGTTTAGGGTTTAGGGTTTAGGGTTTACAGAGCAGATGAAGCCACAATTTTTCGAAGCGATCGGCAGGCAACGCTAGCTAAAATGCTAGTCCGGAAACCTTGATCGGGGTGCATAAAATTCACGCCCGACTTTAAAAAAGGTCCAGCAGTAGCTGCGGGCTTCATGTGTTAGCGATCTCTGAGGCTCTGATGTTGCTAGGAGATAGGGTTTCGGGTTTAGGGTTTTGGGGCTATGGACCCTCTCAATAAGGCCCCTGCTTAAGAGAGCCAGCAGAGGGTCCTACTAGCCACCCCAAACCCTAAACCCTAAACCCTAAACCCTAAACCCTAAAAATGAAACCCGCAAAGCAAATGAGCTGCAGATTGGTCCTGTGCTCGCGCCTAGTGCCATCCCCTGAGCTGTAACGGAGAGACTCTCTGAAGCATCCACCTTAGGGTTTAGGGTTTAGGGTTTAGGGTTTAGGGTCTAGGGTTTAGGGTTTAGGGTTTAGGGTTAGGGGTCCATGCCTTTCAGCTGTTGCTATCCAGGGGAGCTCGCATTGACAGCGCAAGGCACACACACGCACACGCTATGCCGAGGGTGAAGACGGTTGAAGTTCAGATGCAATGAACAGAGAATTTCGGAAAACTTGCATGGTTTTCACGCATGGCTCCAATGTCTTCAAGGGCCGCAAGTGCATGGACAGCTCAATCAAAAAGGTCCTCCTCCGTTGCCGTCGCCTTGCCAAGCACACGTCTTATGGAGGCCAACACGTCAAGCTCGCCGAAAACACTGGGCGTCGGAAAACCCTGAACCCTAAACCCTACACCCTAAAAACCAATCCCTAAACCCTAACCCTGAACCCTAAACCAGGGTTTAGGGTTCAGGGCTCTTCATCAGGGAACAAAGAACACGGCAGGCCTGTGTTGCTGGAGCTTCTTGGACCTCAGGCGCCTGGACAGAACGTGAAATTGAGACAAGAACACGACTGGCAGACTTCATGATCATGATTACTCGTTACCATTCTCAGTCTCGGTGCCAGCATGATGGCTCTAAACGCTAAACCATAAACCCTAAACCCTAAACTCGGCAGGCGTACCGGTGCCGCCGGCGACGCCTTCCCCGGCGCCTTCAATTCGGGGACCTGCCATGGCTCGCAAGGTGGGCGTGACTGTGCTGGCTGCCTTGACTACTTGTCACTAAGGGTGTTTAGGGTTTAGGGTTTAGGGTTAGGATTTAGGGTTTAGGGTGTTCCGTATACCTCACGATAAATACACCTGCAAAGGGACGAGATGCGTGCTCCTCCTTCCCTAACGCCTGCGAAGAACCTGCGAGCTATGCTGGTCACCCTAAACCCTAAACCCTAAACCCTAAACCCTAAACCCTAAACCCCAAACCCCAAACCCCAAACCCCAAACCCCCAGGCCCGCGCCTTGAAGGCCGGCATCTTGACGTCGGGCATCTTGATGTCCGGCATCTTGAACTCCTGGGATGGCCCCCAAAAAACCCTTAGGGTTTAGGGTTTAGGGTTTGGGGTTTAGGGTTTAGGGTTTAGGGTTTAGGGTTTAGGGCTTAGGGTTTAGGGTTTAGGGTTTAGGGTTTAGGGCTTAGGGTTTAGGGTTTAGGGTTTAGGGTTTGGGACATGACACCCTAAACCCTAACATAATCCCTCCAAACCTGTCAGGGTTTAGGGTTTAGGGTGTATTTATAGGGTATGCATATATATATATATATATGTATATATAGATACATATATATATATATAGATACAAGATGTCCCAAAAAAAAGTCCCACCGAGGCTCGGGGAGCTTGACGTCGGGCATCTTGACGTCCGGCATCTTGACATCGGGCAGCTTGACGTCCTTGGCAGCCCAGTAGCCATACTACAAACAAGGGCACCCTTTCTTGGGTTGGGTTGCTTGATAAGGGCTAAACCCTAAACCCTAAACCCTAAACCCTATACCCTAAACCCTAAACCCTAAACCCTAAACCCTAGACCCTAAACCCTAAACCCTAAACCCTAAACCCTAACCAAAAACAAAACAAGTAAAGGGTACCACTGGGCTGCCAAGCATCGGGCGTTTTCACATCCGGGAGCTTCACGTCCGGGAGCTTCACATCTGGGAGTTTCACCTGTCGCACGCCATCTGCGGCGAAAGAACGGGCTAGGGTATAGGGTTTAGGGTTTAGGGTTTAGGGTTTAGGGTTTAGGGTTTAGGGTTTAGGGTTTAGGGTTTGGGGTTTGGGGTTCCGGGTTCAGGGTTCAGGGTTCAGGGTTCAGGGTTCAGGGTTCAGGGTTCATGACTCATGATTATGAGCATGACTTGGGATGCTCCCCCTTATACTAACAGTCCTTAATAGGGAGTATAATAGGGGGTGTTATAATCCCTATTAGGGACTGTTAGTGAAGGGGGAACATCCCAACATGCAACTGTCGTGATCACGATTATGAGCATGACTATGCACAGTACTGTTAATGCGATGGCTCTCTATATAATGCGTATCTTCAAGGGTTTAGGGTTAGGCTCTAGGGTTTAGGGTTTAGGGTTTGGGGTTTGGGGTTTAGGGTTTAGGGTTTGGGGTACTATTGTCATGAGTGGCCCCGCCTTGCCCGCCGGAGTCTTGGCCAACTCAGTCGAAGCCTGCTCCTGCAAGGCAACCGAAACCGCCGACTGCCAAGGGTTTAGGGTTTAGGGTTTAGGGTTAGGGTTTAGGGTTTAGGGTTTTAGGGTTTAGGGTTTAGGGTTTAGGGTTTAGGATTAAGGGTTTCGGGTTTAGGGTTTAGGGTTTAGGGAAGTTTAAGGTTTCCGAACGTAGGGGTACCTTATTGGTGTCCTCATGATAAGGGGTTCCTAAAATTTGGGGACATATATTGGGGGGTGCCATACTTTCGTAAATCCGTAAATCCCCACATGTGGACAGTTCTCAAAATGATGTTTTTTTTTTTTTTGGGGGGGGGGGGGGTCCGTTTACAATGCGGGAGCACTGCTACTTAGAGAACTTGAACTGGCCGCATGTTCGTGCGCGCTGCAAGTGCTCTGACCAGGACATCAATGTTGCCATCAATCTCACGGCCGGCGTGTCCACCAAGTACTGCTACAGCCTGCAAATACCAACACGGGAACGCTCCCGGCGCCCAAGAGTAGTAATCGTCATGAGTCATGGTCATAATCAGAATACGAATAACAACAAGGAAAACACAACAACATGAGTAACAGAATCATTGAAGCAAGCAATATTAGCAACATCAACGGTGATGATGATGATGATGCTGATGATGATGATGATATTTCTACCCTCAACCCAGCCCAGCATGACCATGAACATGTGCGCACCTAGACCCAGGAGTAACCGAGGAATCAACACGATACCTTACGACTTAAGAGGACCATAAGGGAACCCCAGCCCGAAAAATAAGGAAATAAGGCCCTACTCCGGGCCCTAGACACACACACACATATGGGACGGAAACTCCCATACATACGCACACACACACACACACACACCAAACCTGGCCTCATTAGAACAGGGTTTTGGGGAGGTTATTGCAGTATAATTACAAAGGGACCATAAGGGAATACGATGAATAATAATTATTCCGACCCCTATATTACACACATGCACGCACCAAACCCGGCCTCCACCTCCTTCAACTTTGCCTCCAGCTCGGCCCGCGGCTCTGCCGTCAAGCGCACCACCTTCGCTGCGCTTTGGGAAAGCCCTAAACCCTGAACCCAAAACCCTAAACCCTTAAACCCTAAACCCTAAACCCTAAACCCAAAACCCTTAACCCTTAAACCCTTAAACCCTTAAACCCTAAACCCTTAACCCCTAACCCTTAAACCCAAGACCCTGTTTGACCATTGGGCTTGAGGGTGCCTTGCGCTTTGGGGGGATTCAGGAATTACTTTAGGGTTCAGGGTGCAGGGTTGTCCTGGGGGGTCGAAGGGGGTAGCTGTGACAGGGTTCTTGAACTAAGTTGCCGCTTGCTAAATCATTAGCGTCACGAAGGCTAACAACCATAATTTGGAACAGCCACAAGACCAATACTCGTGGAAAGATAGGTTCGGGTTAGGGTTTAGGGTTTAGGGTTCAGGGTTCAGGGTTTAGGGTTTAGGGTTTAGGGTTTAGGGTTTAGGGGTTTAGGGTTTAGGGTTTCGGGTTTCGGGTTTCGGGTTTCGGGTTTAGGGTTTAGGGTTTAGGGTTCGGGTTTAGGGCTTAGGGTTCAGGGCTTAGGGCTCAGGGCTTAGGGTTTACGGTTTAGTGTTCAGGGTGTCTCAATGAGTGGGACCGCTGGTGCTGGAAGCACCCAGGAGCGCGCCCCGACCTGCATAAGCCCACCCCCGCTGGCGCTCCACCCTCGCCTTAAACCTCTATGGGTTAGGGTTTAGGGTTTAGGGTTTAGGGTTTAGGGTTTAGGGTTTAGGGTTTAGGGTTTAGGCCCTGAACCCTGAACCCTAAACCCTATTCGCCAGCGACCTGTCGGGTCAGCCCGTAGCTGCCTACGGGACTGAGAGCTCCGTCGCAAGTCCCGAAGGGCTTTTGGCTCCGGAGCTCCCTTGCCTTTGGTGCGTTCGCCCTGCTCGACGGCCCCGGGCTCACTCAGTTTAGGGTTTAGGGTTTAGGGTTTAGGGTTTAGGGTTTAGGGTTTAGGGTTTAGGGTTTAGGGTCTAGGGTTTGGGGTTTTAGGGTAACACCTCAAGCCTGGCAATCGGATGCTTGCGTTTACAGGGATGCCTCTTCCGCGGACTTCGAGAAGAGCTTGCCGCTCTTGGAAGCCTTGGTGACGCCACGTTCTGCAACTAGGTTGCCCAGTAACCAAGGATTCAACAAAGGTGCCCTTTTAAAGAAGGTCCCCTATCACAATAAAGCACTTCACAAGAAGCAAATCCCTGAAACCCTAAACCCGAAATCCTAGGTTGCCCAGTGTACGTGCCCTGTTTTGCTTAGAGGGAATTATAAGGGAACCCAAAGCCCTCAAAACGGGAATGAGGGTACGACTGGGCATCCCAGGCAACTAGAGAACTCAGGCTCCGTGTGATGACCTGAGGCGACCCACAGCGATCAACCCGACCGCGCTGCCTGCAAGCCTATGAGGTTTACAAGTTTGCGAGATAGGGTTTAGGGCTTAGGGCTTAGGGTTTAGGGTTTAGGGATTAGGGATTAGGGTTTAGGGTTTAGAGTTTAGTGTTTAGGGTTTAGGGTTTAGGAGTATAGAGCGAAAGCTATGCCGCATCTGAGTTGCCACTTGCTGAAGCTGCGCGGGGGTTGCTCCCAGACTGATGCCGCGAACCGGATTGTCCTGACAAGCAAACGGGGCATGCTTCCCAGAGAAGGTTTAGGGTTTAGGGTTTAGGGCTTAAGGTTTAGGGTTAGGGCTTAGGGTTTAGGGTTGAGGCCTTAAACCCTAAACGCTAAACTCGAAATACCCCCTAAACCTTCGGGGTTTGTTGTAGGGCTTGGGGTTTTAGGGTTGAGGGTCTAAGGCTTCGGGTGGGGAGGAGGGTCCAGCAGATGTTTGAAGACAGGGGTTTAAGCTCTAAAGTCTAAGTAAAAATTCTGAAGTCTAGGTAAAGCATCCTCGCCAGACTTCTTTTTAGTAACTACATACAAAGATGTGCACAACAGCCAACAGAGAAAAATCGCAACCTTCTCCACTCGGAAGTACCACGAGCAATCAGCGCTTCAACTAGGGTTTCGGTTTAGGGTTTAACCCTTGAAGGGCTAGTGTTGGGATGTTCCCCCTTCTACTAACAGTCCTTAATGGGGACTATAATAGGACTTTCATCCCTATGGTTTACGCCTTTACGCTGATACTGCCCGAACCCTGCAGCCAACATGGAGGGCTCATCACAACTTGGGGCCTTGTTTAGGTCTCCGGGCGTCCATCAAAGTACGCACCTTGTCCCCTAAACCCTAAATCCCCTAAAGACCCAAAAAAAACCGAAAACACCTTTCAAAAATCCTTCAAAAAATATACCCCAAAAAGACTTTGCTTCGAACATCCCCACCCTCTCTGGGTAGAGAGGGACACTCTGGAGTAGGCACTCTAGGGACACTCCGACGTTGGGCACTCCAGGGACACTCTGGGGTTGTGCACTCCAGGGACGAGCGAGGAGTAGACCGGGCGAGGAGAAGAGCCCCACAGCTAGGTTGGGAAACAAGCCCTACTTCATATAGGGGATAGGATTAGGGGGACCCTTAGGGATAAAGACTCTCTGAATAAGGTCCCTGTTTAAGAGAGCCAGAAGAGGGTTCAGAAGGGGTTCCCTTTTAAGGGGCTTTCTTATCCTCCCTAGGATCATACTAGAACGCCAGAAGAAACCGAAACAAAAAGCCAAAGCCCCGAAGCCCGAAGACGAACCGTCGGTTCCTCCCCGAGGCCGTTCAGGACACCGGCCGCTGCAAAAGCCAGGGCGCCGACCTCTGGGTCCGGGGATTTGGGTTTTAGAAGCTTTAGGGTTTAGGGTTTAGGGTTTAGGGTTTAGGGCTCGGGTTTTTTGGGGTTTTGGGGCTTCGGGGTCATAGTGTTTACGTGAAGAATCCTCAAAACCTCATGTGTTTGCGGGCTGTCGAAGAATCCTGTCCGGGGCTTTACAACGAAAACCTACACAGAACAGGCTTCCGAGACCTATGGGGTTTAGGCGACTTTTTCGCGCAGGGTCTGGAGTTCAGGGCAACCCGGAAAACGAACAAGCCCTTCAGCAAATCCCTAAACCCTAAACCCCCAAACCCTAAACCCTCGTAAATATCATCCGCTTTAACCCAGGAAGAAAAACCAAACACGTCTCAAGGGCCCTAGCCTTGTTGCTTACAGATTCACCCTCCCCCCCCCACCCGCACACAAAAAGAACAAGTGGTCAGCTCGCTATCTTATGGTCCCTTTTTGGTGTAAATAATAGGGGCCACCTTCTAACAAGGACCCCAAAACAGACGATATTTGTAGAGAAGTACCTGATAAGTACTTCACCGGCAAAGAAATCGGGGAGACACTCGGAATCAGAATTCTAGTTGAGTAGAAGCTTAGGGTTTAGGGCTTCAGGTATAGAGGGTTTAGGTTCAGGGATTGAGGAATGAGGCCCTTCAACCCTAAACCCTATGCTAGTAGAGTAACAAACCAAAGAAAGTTCCCTGAACCCTGAGCTCTGGGGTTAGCCCAGAGCCCCAAGCCCTACGTCCGAAGCCCTCAGCCCTAAACCAAAACCCTAACCCGAAACCCCCGAGGGCGTCACGAAGGAGAGGGTCTGCGTGAGGCCGAGGACGCTAAATGGGCCCGCAGGGAGCCCCGCTCCGCCTCTGGGTTTTGGGGTTGCAGGGCGGTTTAGGGTTTAGGGTTTAGGGTTTAGGGTTTAGGGCTTAGGGCTTAGGGTTCAGGTTTTCGGGTTTAGGGTTTTGGGCTTTTGGGCTTTTTGGGGCTTTGGGTGGTTTTAGGGTCTTGGGTTTTTGTTGGGTGGCTTTCGGGTTTGGGGCTTCATCTGAGACATCATCCCATCCATCACCCGTCGTTTGCACCCAGAATTTCGAGGAAGCCCCGCGCCAGCGTCAAGCGGGACACGTCACCCGGGGGACACCGAGAAGGTTGTCTTTTGATCCCAGAATTTCGAAGATGCCCCACGCGCTACAGCACGAGTTTCAGGAGGACCGTGCTTGAAAACAAATGAAACATACTTACTAAGACCCTACTCCGCGCTTTATAACATACTCAAGCGACTTACAACTCTCGAAGACCACGCCATATCACACCATCACGACATCCATCCATGCATCAGCGGAACGACAACCTTCTCGAAGACCACCTCCCCGAAAAATTCATAGTGACTGCAGGAGTCAGGAGCAGAAATAACACCTACCCGAAACGCCTATGCCCAAAAATTGGAACCTGAAGCCCATGATTATAGTCTACTGGCTTTCAAGCTAGACTGCTACCCCAAATTCCCCAGTGCAGCAAGAAGCGGATCACCAGCGAGAGGATGGACCACAACGACACGCCGAAGACAACCAAGACGCCCACGCCTGCAGGTGAGGGGTTCTTTGGTTTAGGGTTTAGGGTTTAGGGTTTAGGGTTTAGGGTTTAGGGCTTAGGGTTTAGGGTTTAGGGTTTAGGGTTTAGGGTTTAGGGTTTAGGGTTTAGGGTTTAGGGTTTAGGGTTTAGGGTTTAGGGTTTAGGGTTGAGGGGGCTTAAGGGTTTCATCAACAGGGCTTTAAGTACCGTAAATAGGGTTGTAGGTATAGCTGCTATAATTCTAGCCCTAATTACGTCTAACTACCCTGAACCCTAAACTCCGAACCTTGAACCCCAAAGCCTAAACCACAAACCCCAAACCTCTAAACCCTGAACCCTCAACCCTAAACGCTAAACCCTGAACCTCAAACCCTAAACCCTAAAAACCCTAACCCCCCTAACCCCCTAAAAACCCTATAAACCCTAAACCTCCTAAGCCCCCTAAAAACCCTACAAAACCCTAAACCCTAAACGCTAAACCCTAAACCCCTAAACCCAGAACCTCCAAGAAAAGTGTCTCTGCTTGCCTTCACCGAGGCCGAGAACGCCCGTTGGCGCCAGGGTGCCGTTCGCCACGACCGGCGCAATGGCCTGTTTAGGGTTTAGGGTTTAGGGTTTCGGGTTTAGGGTTTAGGGTTTAGGGTTTAGGGTTTAGAGTTTAGGTTTTAGCGTTTAGGGTTTAAGGTTTAGGTTTTAGGGCTTCGGGTTGAGCCCTGAACCCAAAACCTCCTAAGCCTCAAAGGATTCATAGAGGGTATACATTGTTTAGGGAAAGGATGAGCTCTCAAAATCCTAAAACGTAGCGTTCTTAGCAATCTGTCCCTGGTATGTTCTATTCCTAGTCAGGACTTAGAGTTTCGGGTATTGCTGGTTGGTCCCTGCCCTTTTAACACTACATACCAAACCTCCAAACCTCAAACCCTAACCCTAAACCCTAAGCCCTAAACCCTGAACCCTGAACCCTGAACCCTGAACCCTAAACCCTGAACCCTAAACCCTGAACCCTAAACCCTAAACCCTAAACCCTAAACCCTAAACCCTAAACCTCGGGAAGAATGCAGGCCTGGCCCTGCGTCGCCAGCTGGACGGCGCTGTAGATGCTCAGAGCCTTGGGGATTAGGGGTTTAAGGGGGCTTTAAAGAAGGTTTAGGGTTTAGGGCTTAGGGCTTAGGGCTTAGGGTTTAGGGTTTAGGGTTTAGGGTTTAGGGTTTAGGGTTTAGGGTTTAGGGTTTAGGGTTTAGGGTTTAGTGTTTCCAGGTTTGGGGGGAGGGTTTCGGAATCAAAGCAGCCACAAACGGAGCTTGCTTTGCTGAAGTGCCCTTATGCCAGTGCCCGGTGAGGCTGAGAACACAGGGCGAGCATAGGAAATCTGCAGATACCCCCCCTCCCCCCATTCAGTTCACTTCGCGACAATTGCTTCCTCTTACCATGCAGAGTGGCCAGATGGAATGCGGTTTTTCAGGGCAGGAACTGTGCCTTCCTGCTTCCGGATGACGAGGCAGAAGGGCCTGATTGCCCTAACCCCTACACCCTAAAGCCCTAAGCCCTATACCCTAAACCCCCTAAACCCTAAACCCTAAAACGCTAAACCCTTAACCTTCAATCTACAGCGCAATTCGTCGTGCAAGAGTTGCGTGATGCAGTTGGAACAGAGGGCACTTAGTGCCATTCGGCATCTACGGTATGTGTATAGTTGTGTAAGTTGTGTACATGAGGAATACCGTGCACGCTTGCGCGGCACCTTCAAGATCGCGCTGCTTTCACGCGTTCATCTGTTCATGCGGCTAATTAGCAGGAAGAATGGGCATGATTACAGACACCTTGGTGGTTGAGAGCTGCTAAAGGCCACACATGTTGACTGATCAAATGTTGTATTGAAGCTGGGATGCAGCTCGAAGCACGCGGCTTTTGAGCCAAGTGTGCCAGTTTTAAGGCTTGGTGCACATGGTGCCCCCTGTGCCCCATTTGCGCATGGATACTTCGTGCAGCGACATCACGCAGACTGGAAAGTTTAGGGGTCTAGAGTCTGGGGTTTAGGAAATCTGTGAGTGCTGGCACTTGCTGTCATGCTCTCAATCGGCGACTACAGTGGGTAGTGCAGGCTTGTCAAGCGGAATTAAGGTAGGAGAACTGACATGCTGCAGCAGACGGGCCACCACATAAGGGAGCACCGCAATGGCCAGCACCAGCGCGCCAACTGAACCCACGATCCCGGAACCGTCTAGGACTCGCCCATCGTCCGCCGGGCCATCGTCCATAGGCGCCTGTGCATTTTGCGGTTGAGACTTCCACGTGGGCATTTCTCCCCAAATGGGGGGGGTACCCCGAAACAGAATAGAATCCCCTTAAAACCCTGGTTGGGTCCGCCAAAACGGGTACCCCTGTTTTCGGAAACGCCCACCCCAAACCCTAAGCCCTCAACCCTACACCCTGAACCCTAAACCCTCAAACAAACAGAAGCCCTCAGCCCCCAACCTACAAGAACCGGCGCTGAGTCCCGGCATGAAAACCCGAAATCAAGCAACTAGACCCTAGGAATAACAAGGAGGGTTTAGGGTCTAGGATTTAGGTTTAGGGTTTGAGAGTTTAGGGCGCCATCTGGGTCGTGGACCACTACCAAGCAGGCGAAGATGCAAGATCACGCACGAGCCACGCAGATAGCTTGCTGTGGCAGGCAGGGAATGAAGGAATGGAATAGTAGCTGTGGCAATTATAAGTAGGGTACCCTAAACCCCACTGAGCGCAGACAAGCTCAAGATGATTCATAGCAAGCCTTAATTATCCCTGAACCCTAAACCCTAAACCCTAAACCCACAAAATGCCCTTCGCAGGGAGAAGGGTAGGGCCCTAGCACAATAACGTTTAGCGGTTGAAGGTCTTGGGGTTTAGGGCTTAGGGCTTCGGGTTCAGGGCTTGGGGTCGTAGGGGCTTGGGGTGTAGGGGGTTTAGGGCACCTACAATCCCACTATTCTTGCGGGCGTGGGGGGTGGTGGGGGGCGGGGGAGGAAACGCACCCCGACCTATGCCCCAGTTACACAAGTATGGGATCCTCATAGTCTCTTAGGCCTACCTCTCGCAGGCCTCAAGGCCCTGAACCCCAAACCCTAAACCCCAAACCCTATAAGCCCTAAACCCTACACCCTAAACCCTAAACCCTAAACCCTATTATATAAGCGCTATAAGCCCTAAACCCTACCCTTTGTGGCAGCTCCTTCCCCGCCTCCACTGCGTGGCGCCGGGTCAGGGGCGCAGGCGCAGACAGGCCAGATTCTGGGAGCAGTGTTAGGGTTTAGGGTTTAGGGTTTAGGGTTTAGGGTTTAGGGTTTAGGGTTTAGGGTTTAGGGTTTCGGGTTCAGGGTTCAGGGTTCAGGTTCAGGGTTCAGGGTTTAGGGTTTCGGGTTTAGGGTTTAGGGTTTAGGGTGTAGCCTAAACGCCTAGCCACCCAAAATATAAGAGGCTACTATTATGGTCCCAAAAAGAGGAAACTGTAGCAGCCCATAACTATAGTGTACAGGCTGTCAAGATAGGGTTTAGGGTTTGGAGGTTTGGGGCTTAGGGTTTAGCTCCTGGGGTTAAGAACCTCAGGATCGCGTATCCTTGAAATTATTGGCTGAGTTTAGCTGTCGAGGAGGGGGAAGTCACCCCCTTGGAGCGGTCCACAAGTACCGAAAAAAGTTGATGGCTACCTACTTGAGCACCTAGCCCCAGGCGTTTGTAGCCGCTCACGCATCAGTTTGGTTGTGGCCATCGGGCAAACCCGACCCCTCCGCCCACCCGTCCCTGCGGTGCTCTGCCCGAACCCAAATTCCCGCACCTGCCACTGCACGGTGGAACTCGGACCGGCATCTGGTGGCGCATGGGCAGCTCTCTACGTGATGATCACTTTTGGGGTAACGGAGGCCAAATCAGGTGCTGCCTCGAGGAGCAACGAAGCTGAGCGCTCTCAGCGCCAGCAGCGCCAGCGCAGCACCTGTGAGAGAGCGGTCTCTGCCCAAGCTCCCCGCATACCGGAGGGAGGGGGGGAGGTAAAGAGGGGGCCTAAAATAGGGGTCGGAATATTACTCATAGTTTTCCCTTATGGTTCCTTTATCAGCACACTGTAGAATAACCTCCCCCCCCCCCCCCCCCCGTCCCGAAACCTTATTCTAGTTATCAGGCGCCTACATCATATGGGCAAGAGCACTTCCGGAGTCAGTGGGTCCCGGCCTGTCAAGACGCGAACGAAGCGGCGCCTTGAGGTACGCAGCGGAGCCATGGCGACGCAGAGGTGGAGTCTGTGAGTTCGCACAACAAGGAATCCAGCATGCAAACATGTGGCGACATCCCTCAGATACTTGCTGGGCTTGCCGGCATATGTGTGGAAACTGTGGCCACGGACAGATGCCACCAACTCACACCTCTCTAGATGGCTGCAATGTGCGACACCCTAAACCCTAAACCCTAAACCCTAAACCCTAAACCCTAAACCCTAAACCCTAAACCCTAAACCCTAAACCCTAAACCCTAAACCCTAAACCCTAAACCCTAAACCCTAAACCCTAAACCCTACACTCAGACTGCCATCAGACATTGCTCCTCTTCACTCAGAGCAAGCTCAGGAGCTGGCTCCATCATTTCTGAATCAAACTCCTGCACTGGCAAGAAGTAATTAGGATTTAGGGTTTCGGGTTTTGGGTTTAGGGTTTGGGGTTTAGGGTTTAGGGTTTGGGGTTTAGGGTTTAGGGTTTAGGGTTTAGGGTTTAGGGTTTAGGGTTTAGGGTTTAGGGTTTAGGTGAAGCTAGTGCGGCTGGTGTCTGTTCTCTGCGGGCGACTGCGCAGTAAACGATAAGGCGCACGCCTCCTCTGCCCGTCTCAGGCCTGGACATGGGTATGTTTCTTTGAGAGGTTCTTACTCCCTAAACCCCAAACCCCAAACCCCAAACCCTAAACCCCAAACCCTAAACCCTAAAGCATACATCCAAACCCCGAGAGAGAGACAGTAAACAACCCCCAACCCTATATCTTGGGATGTGCCCCCTCCCCCCCTCCCCTCCTCCCCCCCTCCCTCCCCCCCCTCCCTATAAAACAGTCCCTAGAGTCCCTAGCAGGAATTACAATCGGGGGGTACTACAAGTATCCCCGTTTAAAAGTGCGAACATCCCAACCTAAAACCTAAACCCTAAAACTCCAGACCCTCCTAAACAGACCTGTCTAGCCCGGTGATATAAAAGCAAGGCCACGGCGGCCAAAGTCTACAAGCCGGGGTTGGGAGCCCAGGCCTGAATTGATGAACATGCTAGACCAATCTAAATTGGCATGTTCCCCCTTATACTAACAGTCCTTAATCGGGCTTGTAATAGCGGGGGGGGGGGGGGGGGGTACTACAATCCCTGTTCAGGACTGCTGGTATAAGGGTGAACATCCCAACATGTAACGGTACAATAATACAGTAATATTACAATACACGAAAACAACGATATGATCATAGAATACTACAATACTACAAGACTACAGGACTACAGTACTATATTACTACATTAAAAAATGCCAATAGTACTAGAATACTATAATACAAACATGCTATACTACGATCATACGGTAGTACCACAATACTATAACTCTACAATACTCTAATACTATAACAAGTTGCTTTTGGGCATTGTGCTTACCTTCCGTCAAGCTTGTGCCCACCCAACCATGTAAGAATAAGCACGGCGGAAGCTTGCCCCATCATGTTTTTTAGGGTTTAGGGTTTAGGGTTTAGGGTTTTGACGCACCTGCCTTAAGGGACACAGGCCTGTTTACAACCGCCAGCGTCATGAGGTGGAGAAGGTCGAATGGTATGGTGCATTGGGGGGGTGCGCTTAAGACAACTTAGTAGCATACTACTACGATCATATAACAATACAACCATGTAGTGAAACGATCATATACTGTCATAATCGTGTAAAGAGAGAGAGAGAGAGAGAGAGAGAGAGGGAGAGAGAGATATAGAGAGACAGAGAGTCATGCGAATAGTAATCGGATCGTATAAGTAAACGTGCAAAAGGGGCTCTTCGGTTGGTGTTTAGAGCTTCTGGGCGGATTTCACGTTGGGGTTTGTTTAGGCGTTGATTCCTCGTCCCTGTCCACCCTAGACTCTAAGCCTACACTCTAACATACACCCGCAACCATTACCCTAACCCAACACCACACCCTAAACCCTAAACCCTAAACCCTAAACCCTAAACCCTAAACCCCAAACCCTAAACCCTAAACCCTAAACCCTCCCCCAAAGCGTGCGCCTAGAAGGCGCGGTAGGGGAGCCGGCCGCTGCGCGATGCGGCCAGACACGCGCGTCTGTGGAAGGAAGCTTCGAGGCTGCAAGGGTTTAGGGTTTAGGGTTTAGGGTTTAGGGTTTAGGGTTTAGGGTTTAGGGTTTAGGGTTTAGGGTTTAGGGTTTAGGGTTTAGGGTTTAGGGTTTAGGGTTTAGGGTTTAGGGTTTAGGGTTTAGGGTTTATTTAGGGTTTAGGGTTTGTATAGGGTTTAGGGTTTATATAGGGTTTAGGGTTTAGGGTTCAGGGTTTAGGGTTTAGGGTTTAGGGGTTAGGGTTGAGGGTTTAGGGGTTCAGGGTTCTGGGGTTTGGGGGTGTAGGGTTTACAGGGTTGAGGGTTTAGGGTTTAGGGGTTCAGGGTTCTGGGGTTTGGGGGTTTAGGGTTTATAGGGTTTAAGGTCTAGGGTTTTGGGGAGGGGTGCAGGGTTTAGGGTATAAGGTTTAGGGTTCGAAACCCTCTCTGGAGGGGACGGGGTTCGGGAATTAAAGGGTCTCAGGAATTCACAAGGAGTGGGGTTCTTGAAGGAGCGATAAGGGTGGGACTTGTGTCGGGCAAAGCACAAACTTGTCTGAACCTTCAGGGATTTAAAGGCTCGGACCCTAAACCCTGAACCCTGAACCCTAAACCCTAAACCCTAAACCCTAAACCCTAAACCCTAAACCCTGAACCCTAAACCCTAAACCCTAAACAATAAACCCTAAACCCTAAACCCTAAACCCTGAGTGAGACCCTAAGCCCCCCCAGAACTCCGAAACCCTCAAGCACACCTCTGCGGCCCTCACTTGGCCCTCAGTTCATAACCCCGAAACCCTAAACCCTAAACCCTAGACCCTAAACCCCTAAACCCTGAACCCCTAAACCTCTATACCCCTACACGCCCGAAAGCCTAAGCCCTAAACCCCTAGACCCCTAAACCCCTAAACCCCTCAACCCCTAAACCTCTATCCCCCTATATGCCTAAAACCCTATAAGCCCCGAGACCCTCCAATCACCTCGAGGGCTTTGAGGGCTACTTGGAGGTTCAGGGTACTGATAAGCCTAAAGTGAAGTTTTCTTGGGGGGTTTGAGGTTTAGGGTTGGTTTAGGGTTTAGGGTTTAGGACTTAGGGTTTAGGGTTTAGGATCTTGGGTTTAGGGCTTCGGGAGGGTTGGGGCTTGGGGTGTTGATGCGCGCATTCGTTGGCGAGTGACTCGTGTCGGCCCTGGCAGGTCACTGACTTTGCCTCCCACCCCCACCCCCCCCCCCCCCCAACTATTCCAGCCCGCCTTGCGAATCACCCTCAGAGGAAAATCCTCTTGTGGAGGATTGACGGAGGTCCGGAACAGCGGCACCACGCGATTGTGGCAATCCAGGATGGCGTACTCCTGGCTCTGTGGGAGGCGATCTGCCCCTGAACCCCAAACCCCAAACCCTAAAGACCCTAAACCCTAAACCCAAATCCCAAGGATGTGTTACACTTCTGATTTGCCCAAGGTACACCAAACTCAGCGCTTGTGTTTTTCATGGCTCCAGAAAGAGAACGCAACAACTTGCAGGCATCGGCCGGAGCCAGAGCTTCAGTCTTGAGGCTTTCCAGGGTTTAGGGTTTAGGGTTTAGGGTTTAGGGTTTAGGGTTTAGGGTTTAGGGTTTAGGGTTTAGGGTTTAGGGTTTAGGGTTTAGGGTTTAGGGTTTCGGGGCTGCCGGGGCTGCCATCAGGAAGCTGAAGAGCAGCAACACAAGGAGGACACGTCCCAGTGCTCCTCAATGCTCTTCCCCT